AATATTTATCACATTTAATTTAATGTCAACTGAATTGATATTAAAACCAGGCAATAATAATTAAAAATTGACTTATGTACAGGGTGTCCCACTATGAATAGCTCTCGGCTGTATCTCCGAAAGTATTAGCCGTAGGGGCTGCGGAAAAAATATTTATAACTATAGAGGCTATGAGAAATTGCTGGAAATTATTTTCAAGTTTATAGAACGACCGCTACGCAACTGCAACAAAAAAATAAGAAAATGGAGTTTTTACACAATTTTGCCTAGATAAGGTATAGTGTAAGTAATAGCTTCATAATCTTCAGTAAATTTTGAATATTTTTTATTAGAGCCATTTTCCCCTATCTACCAAAATAAAGTGGTGGGGGAAGGTTAAATCTGTTTTTATTTAAATATTAATAACTCTGAATGGATTATCGGAATCCAACAAGCTAGGGCTCGTTTAAAAGAACGTTTCTTACTCTATATTGTACCATATAAACAATAATAATAAGCTTTTGAACGTAGACGCTAGGGGGCCTTGTCTTACAATTTAACAAACATTCCGCGTTTTTTCAAAAAAATTAAATGCAATAGTATATGTAATTTTATCTGATAGTAAAGAGTAGTAAAAGCTTAAAAAGTCAGCGAAAACCGCATCTTGATATCTTCTTTCAAACCGAAGATATTAGCAAAATTATAATAAATACCAAAAAATAAGCCCTTAATTGCCTTATTTTTACAACACGGCATCAGTAGCCCTCTTGATTATGCCCATTCTAACAAAATAATAAGATAGAAACAGTTAGTTTATCTTAAAATCGACGAAATACCAGAATACTATAATATCAGAGGTATTGATATCTAATAATTAAGATATTAATAACAGTGAACAAGAAACGATGATTCAGTGAAGTCATGGTAGGCTTTGGGTAAAGTTGCTTTTGACATAATAGTATAAATGTCAAATTGTTATTAGATCAACATTTTGATAGTCTTAGCAGCGTTTTTTATCCTTTAATTGCTTTTTCGAAATGCCAACAACTTCAACTATTTCAAATAACAAAGGCATTTTAAAGGAGTTATTAACATTTAAATAAAGATAGATCTAACCTTCCCCCACCACTTTATTTTAGCAGATAGGGGAAAATGGTTCTAACAAAGAAAATCCAAAATTTACTGAAGATTATGAAGCTATTATTTATAGTACCCATTATCTAGGCAAAATTCTGTAAAAATTCTATTTTCTTATTTTCCATAGCAGTTGCGCCCCCTAGCGGCCGTTTTACAAATTTGAAAATAATTTCCAGCAATTTCTCATAGCCCCTTTAGTTATAAATATTTTTTTCCGTAAGCCCTACGGCTAATACTTTCCGAGATACAGCCGAGAGCTATTCTAAGTGGGACACCCCGTACATGTATTTTCATATTTTTTAGAATATAATTAATTTCCTTTTTACAAAATATCCTGAGAGCTTGAATGTAGGCAGATGGTTTGGTTTTCTTAACTCTCAAAGATCGTATACAGGGTGTCCATATTGAAATTAGTTTTAATCGATAGATCTTGTTGTGAATCAATGGTGTGCAAAAATTCTCCGATCTAGATATTGTAGTTCTCTAGTAACTTCTAATGCACGCTCAGCCTGGGACACCCTGTATACCTTTAGATTAGTATGGCAATGCAATTTACATTAGAAAGAGCAACCAGAATAGGAAGAAGAAGCTGAAAAATGAGTAGTAGAAATGAGGGAAGAAGGTGAGTCATGGAGACTAGTAAATGATCAAAATGGGTGCGTAAAATGGAGAAGGAAAGAAAAAAAGAGGACAGTTTCAGAATTGATTATAAATAACTAAAAGAAAAATCTAGAGAAAATCGTATTCAACTTGGAAGAATCAACTCTACATATAATGAAACGGTAATTCCACTTTTCTTACCGAATGAATTAGTTGTTTATTATGTTTTTATTGTCGAGATCCTATCAGTTACAGATCGAAGATCCTGTAACTTACAACGTGCTCCAATACACCGCCTCTAAAGATCGTATCCTAGAAATTATGCCAAGAGAGAAAGCTCTAATAATTCGCATAACTTGCTTATGTCATCGTAATCAGAATTGAATTAGATCATTTTGTCTTTTAATTGTTAAAATACATTATTATTATATATTATTATTATTAAAATCTTAGATAATACCCAAAATTGATAAACTATTATCTAATATTACTTTTTAGTATTATAATTATTACATATCATTATTAATTCTGCAGAATCGCCTACATGTTAGTTTAATGGCTTCAGTATAATATAAATAAATTAAAATTTTAACTATCGAATGACATTAGAATAATTTGGTTTAAGGCTATAATCATATATTTTGATGACAATAAAATTGCTGTAAACGATATATCATTAATCTTATAGTAATTTTGTAAAAATCACAGGTTAATGAAAGCGAATTACTTAACACACCTGTTTTGAGTTATAAAATTTTATTTATCGTAAAAGTTTTGAAAATAAATCATTGGTCGTTAAATAAAAGCACCTTAAGTTTTTGTTTAAAATGTCACTAGGTAATGTTATTTTATATTGAAATATTACATTTTAGAAAGTAGTGAAAATTTTTTTAGTTAAGTATGTAGGTACAAACCTATGTCCAAAAAACCTTTAATGTCTTTTGCAAGATCCTTTGTAAGTTTGTAAGATCGTTTGCTTTTTCGTAACCTTTTATCAGTTGGTGAGCTGCCACCAAGAGTAGGAGGACTTTTCCTTGCCTAATTTGTTCTCTCTAGGCATTCTTGATGCTAATTGCGAATTGATGAGTTGATGATTGCGAAGTTACTGGGTTGATTTCTCTTAAGGCTGCTTGACTACCGGATAAGATCGCCAAGTCGAGCACAGCCTTTTGACCACACTTTTGACCACCCTATACCTTTGTTGTGGATAAAGCAAGAATATTAATTTTCACTACACACGAGGACATACTATAGCTGACTCGATTACCAAAATATCTAGTAATTATACCTCATCGTTTATGAATTATAGCTTGTCAAATTTCTTTAATTTCGACATTGACTCACTGACACATCATCAAAATTTTAAGGTATTGTATTGTATAGTATTGATTAAGAGTGGGTCCCATGGGACCCTCCACTGCGGCCGCTAGGGCCTATTGTGGCTCAGTTTCTACAAACTCTAATATACAAAGAGCGTCAAAGTTCACCCTCAAGACCCAGCCTTTTAACATAGGCCGTTATGTCTGAGGGCGATATGTCCCCTAGGTCTGATAGGTCTAGCATGGGTTTGCCAAACATCTCAAACCTGGTCCTGCCCCCAGCGGGGCAGGTACACAAAACGTGCTTCATTGTTTCGTCATCTTCCATACGGAGTCGGCATTCGGCGTCTTCCACCAGTCCCATCCTCTGTAGGTGAGATCTCAGCCGGCAGTGGCCCATGTACACTTCAGTGAGCGTACGCGCTCCATTCCTACCGACCTTCAGGAGTTCTCCTGTTCTATGTTTAGATGGCCCTGCTAGGATTTTCTTGGCATGTTCCATTCCGGGATTGTCATTCCAGTCCCGGAACGTCGCACCCCTAACCCATTCACAGAGCCTGTCTCTTGTGAGATTTTTAGGAACGCTAAGTGTCGTTGCGGGGCCCACGAATGGCGAGCCTGCACCAATTTTGGCGAGGGAATCAGCACGTTCATTTCCCTCTAGGCCGACATGTCCCGGTATCCATATTAGCGACACTTTGTTCCTATCTCCTAATATATTGAGTAGTTTCTTACAATGAAGAATCGTCATAGACGTGCTTTTTTTTATTTTAAGGTACTTCTAGAAGAGTTACAAACTTTAAATTTTGAATTTTAGGTAGCTCTAAGCTTATAAACAAAGGAAAAAATTAAAAATCTCGAAATATCTTTCCAGTCGAGAAAAAGTCGAGAAAACTAGAATTAATTGAAGCGGTCTCTTCTGATTTTATTTGTATATTAATATACCAACAATAATTCAAGGATTATGATTTTTTTCTAGTAGTAACTTCTTTAACTTCCCCAGCGACTCACTCACCGTCATCAAAATTCTAAGGTACTTCTAGAAGTCTTACAAATTTCAAATTGTGAATTTTAGATAGCATGCATAAGCATTTACAATGGAAGAAAAAAAATGAGAAATCCCGAGATATCCTTATGGATCAAAAGTTAGCTGTCTAGCCCCTAAAATATTATCAGCATTACAGTTAAATAAAATATTATCAGCATTACAGTGTTACCGGATCATTTAAAAAGTGGTAGCATCTTTGTTATTTTAAATGAAACACTCAGTATATTATTACATTTTTGGAAACTACTCTCATATCTCATAATTTTTCCATGATACCCTATATCTTATAGTTTTCGAGATAAAAAATAAATATGTGTAAAATTAACAAAAACATAATTTTGAATAAGCATTGCATAATATATTACCCTAAAAAAAAGGAGGATAAACTACAAAAAGAAATGAGATCCCATCAAAAACATAGAATGGAAAAAAAGTCTCGCAACACAATTCTTCCACTATAAAAAGTTGTGAGATCTCTTGTAAAACCAAGTCTGTTTATTTTATTTGGTTCCTCTTTAAGCACCTATTCAACAATTTTGTTATAAATTGTTACTATCAATATTAGTCATCTTTATTTCTGTAATAAGTATAATGACTTGACAATTGCACAGCACCATAATTATAAAAGAATAATCTACCCAGTGGCGTAGAGAACTTCTAGGAGGAAGGTTTGCCGCCCCCACAGAATCCGTTCGCCGCCTTTATAACATTTTTTTGTCTCCCCGCAGGTACCTGGAAGGTCGCCGCCAGGGGCGACCCTACAGCACGACCACAGCTAATAAATTAAAAACATTATAAATTTATAATAAAATAAATCAAAAACATAAGTCATACTCATCTTCATCAGTAAATCATTTCACCATACCCCACACACACACCCCGACACCACTGTTTATTCCAGTTATACTCTCTTTCAGCCGACCGCACGCATCATCAGCTGCGCAGCGCACCGTACAATCCCACCACGCAGCTCCAACTCGACCCCGCTGCGCACCGGACCAACTCAACGCTACCGCGCAGCATGCTCTGGTAGTTCTGCGTCATGCCGGCGGCAGCGGACGTCAGCCGGTCCGACTCGAACCGCTCGGACGCCTCGCTGAAGCCAAGGGTGTCGTTCAACAGGGACGTCCACGTCAAGAGGATCGGTAGGGAGCCTGTCGCTGCGACCTGTCCCGCAACCTTAGCCTAACAACTCCTGTCTCTAACGATTCTAACCACTGCTGACTGACACAACGAGGAAGGGAAATAACTCTATTAGGTGCCTGTAATATATTAATATTCTAATCATAGACGTAACAGTAATAGTAGATTTTTATTTGACTGAAAGTTATTTAGGGTGTTTTTGAAAAAATACAGGGTTATTCACCTCATTCGACACGGAGTCTTGTAGGCAAATCATTAGATTTTTACAAATCATGTGTTGTGAATGCGAATGTCATTTTCACAAATGACGTTCACATTCATAACTTATTAATATACTGGGTGCGTCTCAAAAGTGGCTCACCCCTATAACTTTTTTTTATTTTTTTAGTTAAAAAATGAGATTTGGTAAATTAGTATATGACATAAATTAGGATTGATTGACGTATTCAATTGTTTGTGGTTACTTCCTGTTTCACTGGAAAAGTCTACAACTTTTGATTTTTAAATGGCACCCTGGGTATTTTTTACTTTATTCGATAGAAAATGACATTCTGAATAGAATCACATATCATATGCGAACTTTTGACATTCTCGCTTATTAAAAAAGCTTATTTTAAATTTCAATCTAGAATGCCATGGCTATGTTAAAAGCACTAATTCTTAATCAAGGAGCCTTGGAAAAATAGATTTGATCGTTTAATGTTTTTAGTGTCCCGTTCTGGCCGGTTGAAAGATGCCCAAATCGTATTTTTAATCATATCTGAATTTTTTCAAATGGAACGAGGGTGGCTCATTAGCATATTTAAAAGCATTTTTTACGAATAATTTGATACCACACACTTGGTATTTCGAGTCAAATTTTTGTTATGAAACGCAAGTTATAATTTCAAATAAATCGTATACGAAAATGTCAAAAGTTGACATATGATATGTCATTCTATAAAGAGTGTTATTTTCTGTCGAATAAAGTAAACAAACATCGAGGGTGCTATTTAAAAATCAAAAGTTGTAGTCATTTTCGGTAAAACCGGAAGTGATCGAAAACATTTGAACACGTGAATAAATCCTAATTTATGTCATATACTAACATACCAAATCCCGTTTTTTTTTAACTGAAAAAATAAAAAAGTTATAGGGGTGAGACACTTTTGAGATGCACCCGCTATTGATTTCTGATTCAAATCCACATTTATTTATAATCATTTATTAACTAACACAATTAAGTAGGTATGTAATTATTTAATATTTGGGTGGAAATAATGGTGGTATATTTAATTAATGGTATACTGTTTTACAAAGACTTAAATAGTTTTCTTTTTGTAAACAAATGGGCTAGCATTATTATTGTTTCTAGCATCTGTACATTTTGTAAATTCGTTTAACAAAAATCTAAAATGTCAATATTACATGGATATATTGATAAATGAGGTCTAAATTATAAGGATGCATAAAATGCATTTTCTACGAAAATTTGAAGAGATATGTAAAAAATCGTATAATACAATTTAATAGACAATTAAATTGTACACCTGATTTGCGTAGATATACAGGATGTTCTATTTAAATTAAAGAAGTTATTGCCGTTTAAAGCTAGTAATTATTATTTAAAATAAATTTTTAGACACTCTGTATAAGGTAGTATTATCTTTAATATTACAACACAAAATTTTGAAAATAGAAAAGCTTCAGCATAATATTTGGTTTTAAAAACTTCAATACGCCTGTAGAAATGAAGCGTTAAAATTATTACTGCATTTTTACAAAATCGTGAATATTCCAAAAAAGGTAAATATATCTTTATTTTAATTATAAAAACGAGAAATACAATAATATACGGAGTATTTCGTTTAAAAAAATACAACTTAGATGTTTTTTATTTGTTTAGGACACTCTGTATCCTGTAAAAATATTTTTAAATTGTAGCTCTAATTGACAATTTGTAAAAATCTAGTCGTTTGGCTACAATACTCCTTGTCGAATGAGGTGAATAACCCTGTATATTCCAAAAATTTTATATTATTACATTAAAAATTTACAAATTACACAGTCAATTCGAGTCCACGAGAATATGCTACTATTGGTTTGCAGCAACTGGCGTTGCTCATTAATGATGACTAATGTGTAGTTATATTCAAACGATCTTTGTGGAAAACATAGTAATTGTTTTATATTGTTCACATATTTTTTATATTTTAGTAAAATGTTGAACTGCGGAAGTAAAATACTCAACATTATTATTCAATGTCATTTTTAAAATTTTAACTGGCACCGAAAATGGTATATTGGCGTTTTTTATGTGCATATATTGTCTTAAGTATTCATATTCATAATAATTAATTTCAAACATGCGTGTAATAGGTGGGATGTTCTGTATTTAGTAGCGTTGTAAATAATTCATAATCATTTTCTTTTAGTTGTTGTGTAATAAAATTCTTCTACGTATTATTTAACAATTTTAATTTATAAATTTGTAACAATTAGTGCATTCCATTTTGAGAACTCAAAGCTATTAATTTTTATAAATTTCCTATAGATCTTTTTCTCGTTCAAGGCAATTTATTTTAAAAACATTGTATTAGCGTGTTTACACATCTAAATCTAGTTAACTGCTAGAGATTTCCTTCCCAGCTGTTCCATATTTATTATGAAATCTAAGCAATTGTGGAAACTGGAATATCGCGTGCAATTCTTGAAAATAAAAATCATCCATCTAATCGATAAACTACCAACCGTATGTACTGCAACGATGTAAATAGAAGGAAAAAATAATAATGACCTCCAGACTTTCTTTCAAAATGTGTCGGAAAATATCTTTGAATAAGAAGACTAAGGAAGGAGCATAACGCTATCCATGTATTCATGCATGGTGGGCGGAAAAAGCACTCTAGGGTGGGGATCCTTGACAGTTCTGTTTGACGATTCATTTGACACATTTGAATTTGATTTGAAATTTTGTGGATTTGTCAGTCTTTACGGAGCTTATTTTATGTTATTTATTATTTATTCTACTACTGATAGTTGTATAAAGGTAGTAAATCTAGATGGAAATTGTGGCAGAACTTAAATTAACAGTGACACTATCGCGATTTATCGAAAAAGACTCTAAAGTAGTTGGTTGTGTAGCGTGCGGTAGATCTCGGCAAAAATTGAGTGAAATAATGGAACAACTTTTCGCTAGTAAGTGACTATATAATATACATACGTGTAGTAAACCGATCATTTAGGAAATTCACTTAAATTAACTAAATTATATATTTTTCTTGCATTTTAGCTTTTATTTATTACTTGTCAAAGATTAGATGTCAAATAATTTAGATACGTTAATTTGACTTACCTGCTTCAGTAGCGTATCGGATGTTTGTGTTAATAAATACTTATTATAACTTATCTATTTTTATTAGAATTATATATTTTTATAACAATTTTAATAACTACCAACATTTATTCACAACGTAAAATAAAACAACAAATTATTGAGTCTACCCCACGTCTACCCTACATCATAGTTTTACATTTTTTAGATAAAATTAGAACGACACTGATAAACCGGAATTTAAGTCGGCCATATTTGAGGCACATCGCGGTGTACCTAAGATTTTTGATATGCTCCTTCCTTAGTCTTCTTATTCAAAGGAAAATATATTTTATTCACAAACATACAATAACGACGTTTATGACAATGTTGACGTTGCCAATTTTTGAAAAAAATATTGACACTTTTAAAGGAAAACGCCCTTTTCTATAGCAGATAGACAAAAATTAATCTCGGTGTCTGGAGCTCAATTTTTATCAAAAACATGATGGAAAATATCGCACATAGATATCTGTTACCGTTTCGGAGTTACGGTTATTCAAAAATGTGCATTTCTAAAAAAAATTGCTGTAACATTTTTGGTACGGAAAATTTTGTATTTTTATGACAACATTTCCAAGGCACCTTTTTAATAATATACAGGGTGTCTCAGATTTTAATCGGGAAAATTTAATAGACGATAGAACTTGCAAAAATAAAACAAAAAGTTCATATCAACTAAGTAAGATTTAAAGCTTCCTTTTCGAGATACAGGGTACCATTAGAATACCAATTATAATATTAATTACCAATTAGAATTTATTTTTTTTCGCAAAAAGTAAGCAAGATAGACAAAAAAGTCAGGTGACAAAAAAATAATATTTTTAATTACTAAATCCAAAAATAATATTAAACTTCTAAAAAAGCAGTGACATGCCTATTTTTTTCCTTTAAAATAATTTAACAGTGATGCCCCACCGCCGCCCCTGGTCATTAAACTTAAATCTAATTTCTTTATATTTTAATACTTATAAATATAATAAATTTCTGTTTTTTATAATATTAAGGAATATAATTAAAAAAAAATAATATAATTAAATTTTTCTTAATTACTATTAACCGTTTTGTACAGGTTAAAATTAAAAAATAACTAAAAATAAGGCATTCTACCTGAAAATTAAGTTAAAATATTTTATTAAAATCTATCCTAAGGAAGGCACCTAATTTCGAGGATAATTGAATAGCTAACCGTGGACCCAGCCATTGGCCGTCCAGGCCGCCGGACTTTTTTTTTTAAATAAAAACCGGAAGGTTTTTATTTTTAAATTGCCCGTATAATCTCGACAAAAATTATAGGTACTTAGGGGTTATACGAGGGTGTCTTTCACTCTCAGTGAGTTAATGAATTCCGCGAGAAATGTTCAGAAACGGTCCTGTTTGTGCATAATAAAAAAGACGGTCGACATTTCGAACACTTCCTGTAGCAAAATCTCGTCTTGGTATATTGGTCTATTTATTATTAGTGTTATTGAATATAGTTTAAATATGTTGCTATTGTTAAATATAGTTTAAATTGTTATAAGATTCTCATCTCTTATTGCAAATATTATTTTCGTTTTAATTGCTGCTCACAGCTAGCATTTTTCTGCATTACGGCCGGCGCCGTTCAAAGCCTACTTATTCAAAGTGGGCGAATTTTTAAAAACTCCA